TCATTATCAAAAAAATTAATTTTTTAAAAACTATATTAATTCATCTAATTTTAAATTGCTTATAATAAACTAAATAATATTAAAAATATTAAAAAAATTAGCTTCTTTAAGTATTCTTAACTATATTATCATTATCAAAAAAATTAATTTTTTAAAAACTATATTAATTCATCTAATTTTAAATTGCTTATAATAAACTAAATAAAAATTGACAATAAAATCAAATTTTTTCTAAACTCAAATTTTTTTACAAAAAATCTTTGAAAAATATAATAATATTTATATTAACAAATTACTTACTAGTAACTGTTTTTAGCTATGTATAATAAAATACTAAATGCAATTGACTCTTACTTTGCTACTTATTTTAAGTTTAAGCCTCTTGAAATTATTTTATTATCTAGCAAATATTTTGATCTTTACAAACTATACTCTGAACTTGAAATCTATTATTAAAATCTTAATAATAAAATTCTATAAAAGATTAACAAGAAATTATTACTAATTTTTCAAACCAAAAAAAACAACTAATTCTTCTGAAATTTGATTGTTGAGATATTGTTATTAAAGTTTTAGAAACATTAAAACATCAATTAAAATAATAATTGCAACAAATTTTGAGCAAAGATATCTTAGCAACTACCTAACTAAATTCAAGAAGTTTTTTTTATTTTGATTCTTAATTCTATAAAATCAAAATAAAAAAGGATTAGCTAGATTGTTGTTGAGATATCGTCGCTCAAAGTTTTGAAAACATTAAAACGTCTATCAACATAGTGGTCGCGGAAAAAACTTCAAGAAAAGTTATCTCGGTAACCACTTAACCAAATTCGATGAATTTTTATTTTATTTTGATTCTATAGTCCTGTAGAATCAAAATCAAAAAAATTATTCATAAGTAGTTGTTAAGATATCTTTGCTCAAAGTTTTGAAAACATTAGACAGTCTATCAAAATAATAGCCACAGTAAAATTTTTATAAAACTTCTGAGCGAAGATATCTCAGTACCACCTAGCCAAATTCAATAAAATTTTTTTCATTTGTTTCTATAATTTGTAGAAAAAAATTCGTCGAATTTTGCTGGGGATATCTTCGCTCAAAGTTTAACAACTATAGCAAAATTTTTATAAAATTTTGAGTGAAATATCTTGGAAACTATCCAACTAAATTCGATGAAGTTTTTGATTCTATAGAATAGTCAAACCAAAAAATATATATATATTATTGAATTAAGTTGTGCGACCATCGAGATACCTTTACTCAAATTCTTGAAAAAGTTTAAATGCTGTAGGAAAAACAACCGTCTCACTTTCACAATCAAACTTTTGTGATACTGGAGCAGCTCTTCGTTTTTGCTATGACTAGGGTACTTGGTCTTGGTATTTGTGATTCATCATTCAATTCCTGGTCTTCGTGATTTCATCACCCCATTCCTGGTATCCCCATTTTTGCTTGGAACAAACCGCGTGATTATAGAAGAGGATGACTGTACAGTATAATTAAATACGTAATAATATAGATCTCAAGAATGTTTGATAATCATGTTCTAGCTTCGATATTAATGGTAATAATTATATTACCACATAGTAACAGGATTAAATTTTATCACATACAGTAATTGGATTCTTAAGAACAAATAACGAAAAGAAAGAAATATTATAAATGTTCCAGAACAACGGATCCTGTTTCCTAGCAATTGTGTATAATAGTTTTGGATATAATATAATAGTCATGAGATCAACTATTAAAGTTCATTGATGAAAAGTCATTTATTGGCAATGTTAAATCAATTAGCTATGAATTAGACGGTGAAAAAAAAACAAATAAAATGTCATTTTATTATTTTTGGTTCTTATGAACTTTGTAATAAGTACAAAACCAAGAACGTATTTCCCGAATATGTATCTGGCTCAACATGAAAAAATTAAATTTTACAATAATTCATAAAACATTAAAAGTAAGCAGAATTCTACAGTAGGATTAATAAACATTATATATATTAGGCCATCTTAAATTTTTCAAGATTTTATATGGTGAGATATATGGAATAAATACAATCATTGACAATATTATTATATGTGATTCAAATATAATCGTATAGAACAAGGTATTTTGGAATCGTCATCTGTTCATTTAATTCACCACCAAAGAAGCATACCGAAAAAATGTATAAGATATTGGAATTCAAAATTACGAAATATAAAATGAAAATAAAATATTATAAATATATACCGCGTCTCGTTCAACGATTATAATATCGGACGATGTATTGTTAGTAGTTAAAACATCAACGATAAATATAGTACCTGGACGTTCACGTGGAATCTTTTGATTGTATGCAAAAGTTGCCGCAATTGATGATCTGCGAGTAAACATCACTAAGATAAAATATAATTTTTTTATTATTACAGTATTTGAAATTTTTTTTATGTTATGAAAACGAATAATTCATACTTTTTCCACGACGTAAAAGTTTGGCTTTTGTTCCATATTTAATAATGCTACACATTCCACATTTTGAATCCGAACAAGCTTTTTTATTTTTCAAAACCTTTTTCGGATCACAACTTGCACGAGTTCCATAATATAATCTACGTGAGACTCGTTTATAGTTTTGCTCGATAGATTTTATTTTACGTTTCAATTTCGAAAATTTAGTTCGTTTTTCTTGTGATGTTTTAATACGAATGATTGCTATAATTTTAATGTGAATCATAGATTTAAGAAATTCATTTTGAATTTTTTTATAATTTAAGTCTTTTTCAAGAAGGACTTTTATAGATGGGATAAATTTGTCTAATTTAGAAAATATACGTGTCTTAGAATTTTTAATAATGACGTTGCCGCAAGTTTGACCACAATTTGGATATTCATAGCCGTTTTCATCAATATAAGCGGGCTTGGTACATCCTGGAATACTACATTTTTTTGGTTTAGACGATAAAAATGTCATAAAACGTTTGAAAATATTCATTGAAAGAATTTGAGCTTGAGCGAAATGCAAGAAAGAATGTAATTACTTTGTTGAAGACAATTTTCTCTATATATTATTAAAAATGACTACAATAAAGGATGCTAATGATGAAGAGTTAATATTGTGATATATTATTCCACGTAGAAAAATAAAAGATCAATGACCTTATCTAATTTCCTCTGAATTTTGAAAATAAGACGTTCTCGATCAATGTTTCAAATGTCTTTTTAATTTTTAAATATAATAGCAATTTTTAACTGATAAAACATGCATCGATAGATCATGCCTGAAGTAAAAAAAAAAAAAAACTGAATGTGAGCACTCACCTATAGATGAAAATTTTCTTGCGTATGCAAAAAGTAAAGAAAACGTCCTTGTGACAAATATAATCCTGCATGTTGGTGATAATAACGAAAAAAAATCTTTCATTATTGTAAATATTTAAAAGGTGTTACATAATTTGTAATACGTGTCGATCATCCCTTCCCTTAAAACTATTAATAACACAACGATAAGTGGTCTATTGTTAAGACAAGACAAGTAACATTGTATCAAATATATAAATATCGGCCGAAAAATTAATATTAATGACTCGAAATAATAAATCAAATTAAGAATAATTCATGTTACATTATTTCAACCGTCAAAATAAATTTATAGATTTTGATCAATAATAGCATATTCGAATTCGACAAATTTTCTATGATTTTGTAAAATTAGATTTTCTTTATTTTGATAATAGTTGTCGACGTTACAGCTTATTTGCAAAATTTGGTATTAACCTAAAGTATAGAGTGTGTCATTGATTGGTTTTTTTTTCCAATTCTATTTTACGTGAGAAAAAATGAAAATTTAAAGATAATTCAGGTGCAGCTTTATTTTTATAGGTAGCTAGATTTTTTTAACGACTACCAAAGACAATATATAATTCAAGCGTTTATCGAAAAAAAATGTCTTTTTTTCAAAAAAGAGAAACACATATATCTGTTTTGTCAAAATCAAGTGATTTTAACATCCGATTCTTAAATCGAATGACGTCAATTCAGGAAAATATTGTTTTACGTAATCATTTGTCGATCAAAATTGAAGGATTAGGACGTCGTACGATTCAACAAGATGGTAGAAGTTCACGAGATATATTCATTGAAACATTTTCTTAATTCTGTCATTGTAAAAGTTATGCACTAAATTAAGCCAATTTTTCTGTACTAAGTAAATTGGCTTTGGTGTTCTAAGTTCCAATCCCTATAATCCTTAAAATTTCCTATTAAACAGTTCAAAGTTTCAGCATCAACCAATTTAAGCATCATCCGTATTATTTACTGAATAATTTTAAGTACGCATTTAGATATGTGCATAGAATTTTAATGTTTGTTTTTAATTTCTGTGATGAGAATAATTACGTACCAATAAAAATACTTGTTAATGCATCGTACAACATTCCGATACCATATACACTGAACAAATAAACAACACGCATATAACAAATAATAATAACCAGTGCAATGATGACCCGATGATTTTGGATGTTTCTGGAATAAATAAACTGCGCTAATACTTTTGAACTATTTTACCATTTATAACAATTGGCGCATTTGATAATAGGTGTATGTATATAAAACAGTATAATAACATGATAACAGCACAATGATAAAAACTCACATGAAACACAATAACCGATTTGCTGCATAGTATTTATAAAAAGATCCATGAATCTTTATTTATATTATACATTCTACTTTGCCAAACACTTTCTCAAGAACAATATTTTACGGTAAGAATTTATAATAATATATTAAAGACAAATCGTTTTTTTTTTGTTCTGGTACACCTGACAAATTCATGCACCTTATCTAACAAGTATTTTTCATTTATAAAGTCACTTAAATCATAAGTAAACATATTATCTTAAATGATTCAAGATAAATGGAATTTTATCTCGCCTACAAATATTGATTTGAAAGGTGCAGAAGCTACGCTTAAACGTTTTGCAAATTACCCTGCATCGACGATCAAAGATGAAATCCTTTCCCGGTTGGTCTACGAAATAGGAATACAAGGACGTGCCTTTCGAAATTTAGCAAAAGCAAGTAGTTCGCAATGTTCTAATTTAACTCGATCCACCGCTGATATTATTGTAAATTTTGAAAAACTTCAAAGTTCAGAATTCATATCTTATTCATCAAAATCTGAATTAACTATATCTGAAATTTTAAAAGAATGTAATTTAATCCGAAAAGGTTACAAAGATATATCAAGTAATTTAACTCGTATTTCAAATGATTTCCAAACTTATAAATCAAATCTCGAAAAAGAACAATACACTATTGATCAGGAAATTTCGAATATTAAATATCGTAGTAAAAGTGAAAAAATAGGTGCCATCAAGATGGGTGTAATTATGGGTTTTGGAGTTGGTTCACTTTCAAATGCAACACTTTATGCTATTGCACCACAACTAGATGGAGGTCTAACATTAATAGCGACGATTGTTACAGGTGGTGTTCTTGGATGGTATTATGGAGGCAAGCTAAGTTCAAAACTGAATCAAGAGGCAATGTTAAAAGAAAATGAATTCAAAAAATTAAAGAAAAGCACTGATTATATTGAGAATGTGATGAAGGATGTGAAATTTTTTGACGATAAAGTTGGGCTTTTTGAAACTTTTTGGGCAAGACAAATTGATCATATTTCTGTTACGCAACAATTTATTAACAATGCAAAGAAGGGAAACGTGGAAGTAAATAATCTTAATGTACAATCTTTATTGGCATCCTGGAATCATGCAAAAACCGCTCTCGCGAATTATCAAGCTAACGTGAAAGTGGTTGTCCCTTGATTTAAAAATAATGTACTACTTTTAGAATATACATTTCATACTGGCTTTCTATGAAATTCTGTAATTTATTTTTATTTTTATTTTTAAAAGATGTAGAGATAACAATTATTACGGTCAATATATGCGCTTATACGTGGCTTTTTTGTTTTTTTTTTCTTGACTATAATAAAACGATGGATTTAATTTAATAAAAAAATTTTTAACTATTAGCTTCTATGTTAAATTAAATCTTATAAAGCAACGCAACTTTAAATCAAAGTTGCATGACCAAATAAATGTTTCTTTCGACTCAGATATATTATCCTTGACAAATGTGGATGTGGCTTATCCGATAAGTATAATGATGTAATTTTATTTACTACGGACTAGCTTCTTTTTATTTACATATGTATGTATTCTTGGCATAGGATGTAATTTGCGGAATTTGATTTTTGGCATATCGATATTTTTAGATTATTTGAACGTATATATTTGTATATATGAATGAATTTTCCAGATAAAAATAATTGATCGTTTCTTTGTAGTTTTAGAAAGAAAAATTTGTCAATCATATGAACTAACATTGACTCACAATTGTTATTGCAGAATGAGTTTTCTAAATAGGTTAAATCCTACCCAGATCAGGTTTATTCCCTGCACATCAATTTGACTTGTTTTCCGAAATAATTTGTGTAGATACAAATGTAGTTTACTTGTTAGTTATGGCGTTTTGTACTGTATAGCCAATCCAGCAAAAATAGAAATCGTCTAACCAGGCTGTTTTTAAGTTTGGCTACCATTTGACAAACTATGAAATGACATTTCCATTATTGAATTTATTATTTGTAAATCAACCCCCAAATTTAAGATAATAGGACATTTTTTCATCGGAGTTAATGTCACTTCCATGTGCTGCGTAGCAGCACATGAGTGGTATTAACTTCGACGAAAAGATTTCCGGTTATTTTTGTATGACCAATATCGATATTATCGTTCAGGGCACAAAATTTCCGGATGCCGGAAGCTGCTTTTTCTCCGGCGGTGTTTATTTTAACCGGAACTTAGAAAACTCAACCGGATGTAGCAGTTTTTTAATAAAGATATTGTAATATTTATTGATTTTTATATACATACGTATATATGATATCATATTCAGAAATTTTCCGGCTGTTGAAAAGTCGGGCCGGAAATTGTCACGTGTAAACGAAATTTCCGAAATTTTACAATAGGATTTGTGCCCTGTTATCGTTTGTTGTATTTTATCAGCATGTGAAATTTTTTGTCGTGATATTTTGCATAAATGAATATTTCATTTTTTTGTCAAAAATATTAAGATCGATAATAGTTGCATAAATTTTGATCCATTGTAGCAAATGAACGTCACTTAATAGTAACTAGGTAACTAGCGTAATGAATATAAATTTAAAAACTTGTCCCTCTTTTAACAGTATTATCGGTGTTTTTTTATTTATTTTTTCCGTATCATGCATATATTTTTGGATTTTCATTTTTCATTGAAAAATGAAAATCGGTAGGTGTGAGTTAGAGGTGCAGGCGAAACTGTCCCAATGAACCGTACGACACACTGCAAGTTACGGTTACGGTTGCGGCAAAAACCGTATGAATCCCAATTGCCTAATTGCCGTATAATTTCAAGTGCCGTCAGTATTTATATTTAATTAATCATTATTCCACACTTCTATATGATCGCATGACTGGGTTTTGCGCTTATAATCACTGCTTTGATCAGTAAGAGCAACCAATTTTAAAGCAATAGTTGTTATTTCCCCGGAGTTACTTATTTTTTCCCGTCATTTCTTGTTATTTCACCGGGTGCACTTTAAGTTTTTATATAAGATTTGAAGGTAATTCTTTTAGTTTGCATAATGGTTTTATCCTTGGCGAAAATTTTAAAATCCGCTAGCCGTTACAACAGTACTACTTAAATTAAGATCTTAAAATTCTTGATAGAACATGATAGTTATTTAGAACAAAGAACTTTTATAATTCTCTTAGTCAGCGAAATAGTATCATTATAATTAAAGACAGTTTTTTTAAGTTCCTTTAATATGATTGTGTTATTAAAGCAAAAATTAGGTTCGCAATTATCTTTTTATAGTCTTTTTTTTTTTTGTTGTACTGACTAAGGATATTTGAGTCGAAGAACGCCGTCATGACGTCATATAATTTCACCTGCGCGGAAAATAAATAGTACATATTATAATCAAATAATTATATAAGAACTGGTCTAACAATATAATAATTTTTTGTCATTTTATAATAGTATTAATTAATCATCTGATGATTAATCGGAAACCTTTATAATAAATATGAACAAAGACAATTCGGTTCTAAATAATAATAGCTTCTCATCAACTTCTTACGTGTCAACTTCTACTTCCAACAATTATCAAAGCCACTTAAAGAGAGAAATCAAAATATTACATCTCAAGAAGTTGATAGTCAAAATAACTCATCCGAAGAAGAAAATTTTCTGTATAATCGGCCTAAAAAAAGACTATATTTGATATAACAAGTTTCGACATATAAAATTGTGTTACGGCATGTTACGACATATAAAGTTGAATTACGACACACACGCACGTTACGGCACGCCGTAACTTAAAGCAAAAAGTTATAACTAGTTATGACTCATTTACGTTACGGCAAATCCCAAAGCTTTAAGTTCCGCCTGCACCTCTAGTGTGGGTTAGTGATCAGCGCATACGAATTATATAGGTATATCATTTTATAGCAGCTATGTAAAAAATAAGACGAAGCATTCATTAGACTTTCCCAAACATTAAAATATTAGAACAGTTCATAACAGGTAAAAATGTATAGAAACGGACACATAGTTTGTTCCACTTTCAATTAATTAAACATAATCCCTCTTGAAATTGACTTTAAATTTTATATTCATTGCGGCCTAATTTGACGCACTGAATTGATTTACAACTTTAATTAAGCTTGTTAAGTGAATTATACCGAGAAATTGTGATAGACTAATTTCAAACTTCCAGGTCCTGTAAGCCTTTAACCTGAAACTATCATTATAGATATCAGAAGTCTACAATTCATCTTCCTTGTAAATAATAGGGGTTGAATTGGTAATCCTTTCTGAACTTAATATGCACACACATCGTTAAATCGTGGTACTTGATCAGATTAAATTAAAGTGCTTTGGTAAAGATGAAATTCCCAATTATAGTGTGCAGACTACTTCGGCAAGAATTTCTGTCAAATTCAATGTACTGAATTTGCCATTACCATTATTTATAAGAGAAACGAAGAAATAAGTATTAGCAATTAGAACAAGAGCATCAAGCCTAGGGATGGGAAAATCGAGGATTTTTCGAATCTACTGCGCAGCCTGCACGGGCCTGCATTACAGCTAATGCGGGCC